TTTTTTTTTTTTTTTTTTTTTCCTGTTCGGGGATCAAACTCAGGTTCTTGCTCTTGCGAAGCAGGTGGAGGAACCACTGAGCTAAATCCCCAGCCCTGCATAGGGCCATTTTTATTTCACAGATTCCTGGCTGAGTGCCCGGGACATATAAGTCCCCAGTAATTGGTGAATGGAAGAGTGAGAGGATCTGGAAGACACCCTTGATCAGCAGATACCGCTGGTGCCCTGTCCCTCCCTCCTCGTGCCTTCCTAGTGTGGTGGGCAGGGTAAGCTGTTAACTGCAAGCACCTGCGTCTGTGCACCTGTGTCCAAGGGCTTTCTTTGCTCGCTCCTCCTCTGTATGTGTAGGTTGGAAGTGCAAAGAATGAATGTACTCTTGAAGAACTCCTCAGATTACTGGCAGGAGTTGTAGATACCAGCTTTCTTGTTCCTTGGGTGGAGTAAGTATGAGGTACATGCTTTATCTATGCTACCAGAGATTCCTGGTGACGTTGAGCTCTAGTGGTCCACAGGGGTAACTTTCTCAATAAAAACCTTGCACTGGCCTTTTTCCTACTTACATTTCTTAAGATCTCTATCAAATAAACTACTCACACTCAATCCTTGTCTCATGGTCAGATTCTAGGGGAATCTAAGATAATCACATCACTTATATTTAGAATGTTTGTGAAGCTCTCTGGAGTGAGGCCCTTTCTCATAGCACCCATTATTCTTCCTGCTTTGTTTGGATATTTTTTTTAATGAGAAATCACTTGGTGTGACACTTAAGCTTGGTTGTCAACTTGACCAGGTTGAGAGACTCCTGGACAGGTGGTTGCGGTACTGTACTCATTATGGGTTAATCTCTGGACGTTCATAGCTGAATGTACTAATAGAAGATGGAGGTGGGTCACAGAAGGTGTGTATTGGGAGGAATGTCTCTCACTTGTGCTTTGCTTCCTGGACACCATGAAGTGAGAAGTGTTAACTCCACTGTGTCCTTCTACTAGGATGTTTCTGCCTTGGACCCTGAACTAAAACCTCTAAAACCATGAGCCTAATTAAACCTCTCCTTCACTTGATCTTAGCCAAAAGGCTGAGAAAACAGCCACTTAACTTTTGCAGGTATTTGGTATAATGTCCCACTGTCAGGTAAGCTGACCAATACACTTGGCCTAACTCACATTCACTGTGGGCTTGTGTACTGGAGAGGGAGAGAGAGGGGAGGAGGTAAGGTGCAGGGAGGAGGGACAGCAGGAGATGAAGAGAGGGATCCAGACCTGCAGTAGCACTAGCTGCTGTAGGAATGCAAGTCTTCCTGTTTTCCTCTCATGAAGATGACCTTAGTTTGCTCAGAAGTCACTGTCCTGGTCTGATTTGCCTGCTCTCATGAAAACAGCTACTAAATATTGTTACTTTTCTTTTGGAGTGACTCTCTTTGGAGACTGTCCGTACATTTGCTGTGGGTCACTGTGCTCTTTGTTAAATAATGAGGGGAACAGTACAAAATGGTATTTTGCCATAACAGGGAAATATCAGTGGTTACAGGGAGGAGGCTCTTCCTGCTTTCCTCAGTCATTTGAAGCTGCTGTAGTGGTAGAAACTGCCACAGAGGCAGCACTGGAAAAAGGGCTCAGTAATGGACAATTTAATGACAGAAACCTCTGAAACCTCTCTTGCTTTCTAAGCCTAAAAGTTCCTCCGAGGTCTTCCAGGTTCTTTTGCTACATTTTACTGTTCCCCACATCATTTTAAAAAATTAATTCTTCTTGCATTTTTAAGTAGGCAAACAGGATCTTTTGCTATCAAAGCACTCAGCATTTCAGCTGGAGAATTAACTCCGGGACATAGAAGTCACACAGATTATAGCCCAGCCATCCCCCTATGCCAACTAATTTGACATGAGTTTTTAAAGGATATTCAAAGCTACTAATCATGGCATTAATTCTAGGTACCAGGCCTTCCCTCACAAACATTATTGAATCTTCATACCAGCTCTCTGCTAGGCATTGCGCTTCCAATTCTGTAGATCAAGAAACCTGAGTTTAGAGAGGTCAAATAGCTAGAGAGCTGTGGAGCTGGGATCTAAGTCTGGCCCTCAACACAAGTCATTGGACCTCTTGCACTCCCTTTGCCTATGAATCCCACCCCTCAGCCCCGGCCTCTAATTTGGCTGTCAGGGGAACCAGAGAACTTAAACTTTTTATCTTCTATCCTAGGAGGCTAGTATCATCTCCCTCTCTCCATGTTCCAAGGGGGACTCCCCACTGAGTCCAGGCTTCCGGTGAAGGATGGGGACAGGTTACAATACAGTACTGTAGAGACCCCACATGGCTTTTTTTTAAAGTACCTAAGAAGAAAAAGAGCTTTGGTAGAAAGGTCATCCTTGGTGAAGATCCTGGTTCAGTCCTATTCCTTCATTTCCAGGTATGGCATGTTGTTGGTCATTAAGGATGCAGTGTGAGTCACAGGATCTTTCCTACAAGACCTGTTTGTGCAAAGTCTCTTTGAAATTTTTGACTTTATGATCTTCTGAGAGGTCTGTATTCCCACCTTCCCCAAATTCCCCCTTCTTCTCAGCTCAATATGTCTGTAGGACCCAAAAAACCTAGCTTGTTTTCTTGAAAGGGAGGACACTTTTATGAGAAGCCACCTTTGTTAACTGAGGACTAGAGCACTATGATGAGACGATTGTAACAAAGTTTTTGGTGACCAGTCCCCAGCCTCTCTTATATGGCCCCTTAATTAAGCAAGGAGGGTTAAGTTGGTTTTCTGGGAAAGCTATCAAGCTTTGCCTATTTTCCATTACAGACCCAAGCAGAAAATCTGAAACAGGCTCTTTATTTGGCTGAGGGAATTCTTTATTAAGTGAAGTTAGCTTGGCATGAATCCATGAGCAGATTTTCTGGTGATCCATATCCTATCTGTGGTGATTTTTAAGTAGGAAGATCAGCATGGCAATAATTAGTCCAATCATAAATAAATCCCAGTATGGTCCAAGGGTGCTCTCCAATGTCATCCATTTCCATATTGTTGTAAACTGTTGGCAAGAGAGATTCAGTCAAAAACATCCCAGCCAGGCTGGGGATCCAGCTCAGTGGTTCTTCCACCTGCCTTGCAATTACAAGGTCCCGAGTTCGATCCCCGGTACCAAAAAACAAAACAACACCCAAAAACATCTCTGCCTCACATTTCACTTAGAACTATTATCTCCTCCTAAACCTACCACCATCACCACCACCACCTTGACACCCCCTTGCTTCCTTCAGTCTTAGAAGATACAGTTTTTGCTGGGACAATGATAGCTCTCACTGGGGGCTTAACTACCACCTTTAGAATAACCTAAAAGATTTATAAAATTTAATTTTTAGTTTTTTCAAAATATATCTCTTTGTCATACCACTTGCCACCTGCCATCTGCTTACTAGTCTCAGATTTTGATGGCAAGAGCTATGTTTTAACAAGTATATATAGCACATGTTACTTTGCTTAAGGCTTTGTACATAGTATGTACTGAAAATAATATCTGCAGAATGAATTCATTGGTTGTACTACAAAGTGTCAACACGTACTCAGTATAACAAGTAGAACTGCTCTGCCTGGTTAGTACTAAGGCTTTGAATTCCACTTGTCAAAGTCAGTCCACAAAAATACTTCCCTGGTGATCTCATTACTTTGTCCCTAACAGTTACTCATTGGAGTCTTCAGAGACTCAGGACCTATTTGAGACAAACTTACATTAAAAAACAGGATATCTCTGAGCAAATGCATAGTTTCCAGTTTCATGAGGGCAAGGAATACAGGTACATGAGCATCTGGACTTGTTTGAGCAGCCATATTATATAATCTCCTGGCCAAGTGAATGTCCTAGAAATAGAACAGCACACTCTCATTAGACACAGATCCTTAAGGGATGAATAAACAAAAATATCATAATTTACACTTGGAAGATAGAATGACCCCATCACAAGATATCTGTGCCCTCATCCCTGGAGCCTGTGACTATATCATGTTATAATCAAAAGGGGCTTTGCAAATACAAGGTTACAGATCTTGAAATAAATTATCCTGGATTACCCATGTGAACTGGTATCATTATAAAAGTCTTAAACACAGTCCTGAAGTCTGATCAAAATCAGAGAGATGTGGCAGGAAGAGAAGTCAAAGAGGTTCTAAGCATGGGAGGGACTCAACTTGCCATTGTTGGAAGGGACCCATGTGTAAAGAAAGAGAAAGAATTCAAACACCTGCAAGGAAACAGGGACCACCACCCTACAACTTCAACAACTTGAATTCACCCAATAATCTAAATGAGTTTGGAAGTAGATCTTAGAACCTCCTGTAAGGAACAGAGCCTTGATTTTAGCCCATGAAACCCTGTACAGAGGACTCAGTCAAGCCATCTGTAATTTTAGCCATGAGATACCAAAACCCTGAGATAATAAATGTGCATTGTGTTAATCAACTGGATTTGTGATAACATGTATGGCAGTCAGAGAAAACACAATTTCCAAAAAGCTTTCTTGGATAACCATGGACCAGCTCATATTTGTAATAACAGAGAAAGGAGAAGACTAGATACTAAGTCCCCTAAAACAAATACAGACATTGTGGTTATCTTCAAAGTGCTTGTCATATTTGAAGTTATAAAATTTGTTTATTCATTAGACTGCTTCCAGATTCTTAAGGACAAGGTATTGAACTATTTACCCTCAAATTTCTAGTGCATAGTAAGTGCCTACTACATAGTAGGACTTTGATAATGTGTATAGAATAAATGAATAACTACTTTGGCTCTCAGGTTAGAATTTAATTCAAGTGACCATACTACTATATTTTCAGGGATTTTTTTTTTCATTAAATTGTACCATGACAGATAATTTTTAATTGATTAATTAATTTTGATCTACTTATGGCTTATTTTGTTTGGCTTATTCTTGCTTTGTTTACTCAAACAATATTGAGTAAGGTAAGGAGTATTATTTTCAAAGTCTGAAGTTTCCTTAGCATGTCTCAGAATTGTGTTTTGCTTGGGTGCCCATGGATTATTTTCAAAGAAAGGGAAGAAGAGAAGAGATTTGAAAAATGAGTTTCCATCCAAGTATATATTTTTTGTCCTTTCTGCTCCATCACCTAAGCTTGAATAGTTGTAACTCCTTGGGGCCTTTGCTAAGCCTGTTTTGTAGGTAGTATCTTTTCTCAGCTGCATTCTGCTTGTCACTACTTACATTTTTTCAAATCCTTGAGATTGTTTGGGGAAAGAAAAATGTTCTTGTTTAAAATATTTAAAATTCAGGAGATTGTTTGGAACAAATCTTCCTGGCAACAGAGAAAATAGATACTGTAGAAACTCTAATTTGTGTCTCTAATTCCAACATATTCAGTGGATATTGATATGATAGCACCCTGCAGATTATAATGGCTGTCAACTCCACAAGGGAAAGGCATATGGACTGGAAGAGGTCGTTCAGGGAAAAACAGATTTTTGTCAATACCTCAGGCATTCATTCTTAAATTAATAGTTGTATTAATTTATTTATTAAGGCAAAACTTTACCATTTCGTCTCCTAGTTTAAAATAAAAAGTAGCAAGAATTATTATTAAACGGGGGTGGAATGTGAAAAATATTTCTTTTAAATTCCCAAGGAAAAAAAATTCTGAATATTTCTGGCTGATTAGGGAAATTCATATAAAATAAACCTTATAGCTAAGCACCAGAAAAGTTTCCTCATTCCTTGACCCTATTTAATAAAAAATTCAAATCATTCAAACAAAATATTTCTTCTTGGTAAATAGGAAATGTTCTTTTGAGGGTGGCCCAGGTTCAGTAAATGAAAAGTCCTTTGTACAGCCAAGCCACTTAGATATAATTTATTTGTGGTATATTTAAATTTATTGTGCTTTTATCGCTTCTTGGCCTTTTGGCTAAGATCAAGTGTAAATTTATTGTGCTTTAAATTCAGTGTTTTAGTAGGTTATGTAAACCAATTTGCAGACTTCTGAAATAACCTGTTTTTAACTAAAATGTCAGGTGTGCCACAGTACTGCTTAGGGTTCAGATGTTCAAAATAGCTTCTTAAATTCAAAGACGTATAATTCTCCAGCAAAAAAGTAGCATGCAGGAGTTCTCCACGCCCAATTCCTTGTATGTCATAAAAATTTCTTATACTAGGAGTGAACATGTGAATGGAAAGGTAATTATTTGAGTAATTTACTTTTTATTATGTCTTTTGGGTCTTGCACATTCAAGGAAGGTGCTCTACCCCAACATATACCTCAGTCCTATTTCTTTCTATGAATATACCATAAGTTAATTAGAGGAAAATGAAGATATAGAATTGAACGAATAGGAAAAAAGCTGTCCACAAACCCACCAGAACAAAGGAAACATGATAAAATTTTATACATCTACTTTATGTATATAGGCTAGTGTGTGTGTGTGTGTGTATATATATATATATAGATAGATAGATAGATAGATATATAGATAGATAGATATATCTATATCTATCTATCTTTATATATCTTTTAATTTAGACATTTTTTACTCTGCATAATATTTTGTCTTCTGCTTTCTAACCTAATCATACATTTTAGAAATATGTCCTTCTAATGAATATTTTTAGTAATTATATAGTATAATAATGATTATTGCTCATTAAATACTGTGTATAAATAAATCACCACTGTCTTTTAATCATAATTCTATAGTGCCACTGATATTAACAACTCAATTTTAAAGATAACAATACTGAGGCACAGAGGAGTTAAATCAGTTACCCAAATTTCTTTGACTTATGAGCTGTGGAACTAGGATTCAAATCCAGAGAACCTGCTTCTAGCTTGCTCACTTGAGCAGTAGGCATAAAATATATACCACTACATAATAATTTATATAACATATCTTTAATTTTGGAGCATTTTTGTTTTAAAAAGTTTTTTCCTGTAAAAAAATATATAATTGTATTATTAGCTAATAGATATTTCTTTTAAGAAATGTTATGATCATTTTAACAAGTATGTGTTCTGTCCTGTCATGTTTCTAGCATGGCCATTTTAACTATAAATTTTAACATTCTTTTTGCACAGTAATTTTATTCTAGTGTCTAAAACTTTAGCTGTAACCCTTCATAGGTAGTCAGACTAGACAAATGGGAAATATAAAAGCTTCATGCCATAATTACTTTTCTTTTTGACAAATCTATTTATAATGTATTAGTAGATGTGATTTTGTTTTCTCTTCAGGGCTCGCCAACAATATATTATCTAGTAGGTATAAATACATATTTGAATTTCACCTCCAAATAATAATTTTCCTTCACTTTTTGTCTTACTTTAAGAGTTTTCCTAGTCATCTTGTGCTTCTCATACTCTGTATTGCAAAAATACTGTATTTTAGAGCAGGACTTAGTGTACTAATTCCCTACCCTATGAAATTATCGTTCCCTCTTGTTAATATTTATAGTTCTTTACTATTAATTATTTTCAAGTGTGTTTCTGTGTGTGTGTGTGTGTGTGTGTGTGTGTGTGTATACCAGTTTAGTCTTTCCTTATAGCTATGGATATGTTTCTTCTATAGGACATTATGAACTCTTTGAAGACTGTCTTGATCTTGTCATGTCCCCAGAACAAAGCACAGCACTTCCAGACACAAAACAAGCACTTGTTAAATATTCAAGTGAATAAATGAAGGAACAGAAAGCAGAGCACAATTTGATGATATTTTAGAAGTAGATATCTTTTAAATTTTAAGGTTTGTTGACTGATTAATAGAGATGATGACATTGGAGGTGTTCTTTGAAAAGTTCACTGGTCTTTTATTGGAAAGATCATAAATATTGGAGATCATCTTTCAAAAAAAAGGAATGATGTGGGCAAAAGTCAGGAGAGTTCAGTTTAAGATTTCTGGAGGGAAGGAACACATAGCCTACAGAGTATAATAGGGAAAAGTGGCATATTGAGCTATTATTATCAAGATAGGTTAAGTCAAGAAAGGTTTTGAATTTGAAGCAGTCTGGGCTTCCCTAGACAATAGAAAGCCAATAGGAATATCTATGTCTATATCTATATATCTCCAATAAGAATATATACAAAGCCATATACATACATATGTACATATTTGTTTATATTTTTCCTTCCTTTCTTCCTGCCTGCCTGCCTTTCTTCTTTCCTAGTGAAGGTAGAGAAGATAACAGTACCAGGGTTATATTTTACCAAGAATCATACGGTAGTGCTTTGTTAGATGAGTTAGCTATTAAGGTAATGCTAACACCTGAAACAAATAAAATCCTAGATTTCAGTGGCCTAACACCACAGAAGTATGTTTCTCCCTCATTCAGTACTCCAACATGGATGTTCCTGGTTGGTGGTGAATTTTTTTTTTCACATGGTTATTGAGGTACTCAAATTCTGACCATCATATGGTTCTGTAATTCCATAGAGCTTCTGGGCCTTCTGCTGTATTAAATCATTGGAAGGTGAAAGAGTGTAGGCAGGGGCTCCATTTACTTCTTAGCTGCTTTAGTCCACAAATGACATCCTTTTTTTTTTTTTTTTTTAATTTCCATACCATTTTCTGGGAAGTGAAGTCTTTGAGTAGGCCAGCATATCTCCACAATTATTTTAAGTATTGGCAATTACAAATTTGGTGGGCAGAGCTACCTCTGCTGTAGATTTAAAGGGAGAATGCTAGAATAGGAGACTCCAAGTGGTGTTTGGAACAAAATTAGGTGAGGAGAAATTCAGACCTGAAACAGCTTACAGAGAGAAGGGACAGCCAGGAAGGATGCAAAACAGATTTTCTTCATGGTTACATTTTTTTTTCACATTTTAAAAATAATTTTGAAACAAATATAAATCAAAGAAGAGTTTCATAACAGTTTGTGAACCAGACGCTTATAATTCTGAACTAGTTTGAATCCTCTCTTAATTCCTCTCCAGGTTCCTCTCTAGGTTCTCACAACAGTGATGCAGTCAGCCATGATCCTCAGTTTAGGTCAAGCAGCTTATTGAGCTGAGATAATTCTTAGTGAAGCTATTCAGAAATTCACCTGGATCTCTTAATCCTAACCAACTAACTATTGTTGAGAACAACAGTGATCCATATTTTTACATTGATTTATTGAGGGTTGATTTATACCCAGTTTCTACTCCTGAGGTCTTAAATGCAGTTTATAAAACATGATTTCACCAACCTTCTTTGATTTTTTTTAGAGTAATTATATTATGCTCATCTTTCTCACTGGTTCGTACTGAGGATTAGCTAATAAGGATTGCTAAGTGCCTTTCTAAAGAAACGCTTAATTACATGATAACAAGTGCTGGTAAAACCTATTCTCCTGACCTCTTTGCTCTTGTTGAAACAAGCTTTGGGATTTTAATTATCAGGGTATTTATTTTAAGAATTAGAATTTCCTTGTTAATTTGAGTATGAAATGGCAAGATTAATAAACTTTGACCCTGGGCACTTGGTGATTATTTTTCTAATTGCTAAACAAAAAACTTTAGTAAAGACAAAGAACAATGATCTCTCATCAGTTTAATCTGACACGCTCAAATCCAGATCTGAGGTTAAGAGCAGCCCCTGTCGTTTTGTTTGTTTGTAGAGACTTTCTGTAGAAAAAAATAAACTTTGACCAGGAGAGACTGATCAAAGTGAACTACCCATGATTTAACAGGAACCCTAGCAGAATAGAATAAAAAGTGGCCAGAGGGAAACCTCACAGTTTTTTTCTGAATATATGAAATGGAAACCTTGACAGCGGCTATTTGATATTGTGAATAAAGTGTCTAGTAGAGAGGTCTGTGGTGACATCAAGAGGGAAATCCAGAGCCTCTGACAGGATAGTGTCCTCCCCTGCACCATTAGCCCAGTGCCCTGAGAGGATGTCCCTTCCTGCCCTTGGGGAATTTTGGAAAAATGACCTCACTGTGGTGAGAATGTGGCTGTCAGGGAAATTAGTCCTTTTTGAATCACATAGTGGGAGAGCTAACTTATATTTAACATGGATTGTGGTTGTTTGTGTCCTTTCTATAAATGATACTCCTTTCAAGTTATTATTATTATTATTATTATTATTATTTTTTTTTTTTTTGGTACAGGGGATCGAACTTGGGACCTTGCGCTTGTGAAGCAGGCAGAGGAACCATTGAGCTAAATCCCCAAGCTATTATATTTTGCATAGGGAATGATTAATAAAAGATTTAATCTTACTGAAGACAATTTAACAGTTTCTCCAATTTCCTTCTGACCTAAATGACAGTCATTCCACGTATTGTTGAACTACAAAGTCCTTTCACAAAGGCTTATTCATGTTACCTTCAGAGCTGGGGGGCAGGCCAGGTATTATGAGTTTTGTTTTAGTGGTATGGATGACAAAAGGACATGGAGAGTCACCAAGTAACATCTAAAGAATCACCCAATGTAGCTATTTGGTCCAGTCCATACTTCATTGAGTTTTACAAACACAGGTACTTCACTCCTGCTAGGAATGGGAGAATGGACTGAATTTGAATTTAACATCCTTTCTACTGCTTAGGGCAACTGAAGCTGATGAATAATGATCAGCCAACAGGTAGGAGAATGAAGCAGCTGGGATCTGTACCTCTGGAAAATTGGTACCTGAATAAGAAGACTTTGGCTGCCTGTGCATTTTTTTTTTTAGCAGTTCTCTGTAAGAAATTTCCTACCGGTAATTCTCAATTACTAGCACAACTGAAAGAAAGAAGATAGCATTAAGAAGTTGATAATTTCCATATTATTTGGCTCTAGAAATGCATCCAGGAATATAAATACTGCAGAGAAACACATGTTTGAGCACTAAGAATGACTCAGTATTTTTTTCCTCAGAAAACTTGAGATCAGACAGGCCTGCATTAAAATTCTGGCTCCAGCACTGATGAGCTTTGCAAGTGGGGCCAAGTGACTTAACCTCTGCACTGTGGTTTCCTGATGCACTCACTGAGGAGAATTACAGGGCTTACCTCATCAAGTGGCTGGGTGATTTAAAAGCCATAGTGCACAACACCTAACTCAACATCTGTCTGCCTGTCATTATCCTAATTGACATTTAACATACCTTTATCACTCTGAGACCCAGTGCCATCTTCCACCTGGTTATACTGACTGACTAAAGACTGTGTGGGAAGGGAATATTTATAAATGTTTCACCCAATAGCACATTGTAATGATTACCCTTCATAGTGGCTATTCTTCAAGTCGAGTGTAGTCTTAGAGGATGGAGATCCATTCTCTCAGGCCTTGCTAGAATGTCCAGTATTGTGCTTATGGATACAGTGGGTGTCTTCATAAGACATTTCTGGACCAGTGACCTTGGTCTTCACCTCTGATCTCATTTCACTTTGTTCTTGTTACTGGGAGCTTGAGAATCAATGGAAATTTCAAAGGCAAAAGGGTGAAGGAAAAAATATGTGCTAGAAGTAAAAACCTGTGAATCAAATTGGGCTACACTAGATTTTTTTCTACTCAGTAATTATTTCCTTGACATAAATGGAGAAAAATAATATAACCCTCACAGAGTTCCTAGTATGGTTAAATAATATATGTTGGCGTATGGGAAGGACTCAGCAAATTCTAAGTCTTTCTCCTCCTTCTACATTGATAACATTGATGAACTTAAAAAACATGTATAACTTTTCCCTTCGCACACAGTCATCATTATTTGGTTTGTACCAATGCAATTACCTTTGCAATACCTAAGCCATGTTCATACATATAGGCCAGATTGAACATGGCCTGTGCGTTGTGATATTTGTCAGCTGCAATGCTGTAGTGTGACGCAGCAGTTTGATAGTCTTTCTTAGTCCCATAGCCGTAGTAATGGTAATCTCCAATTTTTACTCTAGCAAATGCATTTCCTAGTAGAAATATTAGAAAGAAAAGAAAAATCACAACTCTGATTCCACATGTAAATTCCAGTAAGTTGACCTAATAATCCTTAAATATATATACATATATATATCACATATAAATTACACATTATGTAAAATACATGCAATTCTCACTCAATATTAGAATCAGGATTAGATACACTTCATGGAATAATGGCAATCAATGCTAGTTGTCCTCATTGTGCAATAACATTCACAGAATAATATAAATGTTCTTAAACAACAATGAATAATTTTACCCTTTAAATTCATTTTTCGAATGTAAGTAACATCTTGGGAAACTGAATCCCATCTCTCTTGTTTTCAGATTCCCTTCCTTCTTTCCTTTTTCCTTCCTTCCCTCCTTTCCTCTTCCCTCCTTTCCTCCTTCCTTCCTTTCCTTCCTTTTCTCTTTTTTCTTTCTTTATTTTTTCTGTGCTGGCATAGAACCCCAGGCACTCATACATGCTAGGTAAGGGCCATGCAACTGAACTACAACCTTCAGACTGTATTCCTGAAACTCTGCTTTCCTACACCATCACGTTGTCTCTGTGTCCCAGATTAGCCCCATCAGCCATGCATTTGCTTATGAATGAAAACAAGCCCTCTTTTTATCCTATGGTATCTCCCTCTAGCTACTACCCCATTTCTATGTTCCCCTATACACTCAACGTTTTCAAAAGTATGCTTTACACTCACTATCCTTAGAGCTTCCCCTCCTGGTTACTCATCACCTTTAATCTGGCTGTGGCCTTTCCTCCACGAAAGTGCTATTTTAAGGTAGTAGATAAATTCCAGGCAATCAAGTCCATTGGCCACATCTTTGTCCTCATTTTATAAGAACGACAGGCAGCACAGGTGTCTCTGGACCTATCTGATCAAGCACTTTCCATGTACAGCATGACCTTCTCTTGATTTCCCTCTACCTCACAGACCTCTCCTTTTTGAACTCTTCTAGCCTGACTTCTTCTCTCCTCAATATTTTAAACCCTTTTTAGAATTAATTTTATTGGTACATTTTAGCTGTACTATATTTTCTCAGTTTTTAACATTGGCTTGCCAAGGACTTATTCCTAACTCATTTTTCCTCTTTTTTTCTATCCTCTCCTCATCTTACTCTCCTTTATCTCAGTTTCTGGAGGTGATCTTATCTAGTCCTGTGACTTTCTCTGTGTAAACTATTGATTAATTTATATCTATAGCCATATCTTGTCCAGTCTTTTATAATTGCTTTCTTGATTGCTTAGATCTTAAATTAAAATGTCCACTTGAGATTTTTCTAACACCTTATACTCTCTCTCCTCTGAATAAAATCATTAGTTTCTTTCTCATCTTAGTAATAACACCACCACTGTTCAGAATATCAGTCTAGGGAGATTATTTGTATTTTATTTTCTTTCAGCTCAATCACCCAATTCATCAGCAAGCCCCTGCTGATTCTACCTCGAAAGCACAACTCTCTTTTGACATTTCCTCCTTCATCTAGGTTCAAGCCTAGGTTACTACAATAGCCTTCAAAATACTCTTCTACCCTGATTTTTCATTTCATTCTTCACACAGCAGCCAGGGTAATCTTTGTAAAATGAGAATTAAAATGAAGTTATTCCCTGTTTAAAATCCCCCCATGGCTTTACATTGCACATGGAATAATATCCAGCTCTTTATCTGACCTGAGTCCTGCCTAACCACCTCCTCTGCCTCTCTGACTAAGCTCATTACATCACTTTCTCTGCTCTAGACTCCTGGCCTTCTCAGTACATCAATGCATCAAACTGTTTCCTGCCTCTGGATCCCTTCATTCATATCTCTCAAGACCCTCTGCCTGGCATATTTGGAACTCCTCTAATTCTGTTTTTTTGGTATGGCCCTCCTCTAATTCTTCATGTGGCTGGTTTCTCATCATTCTTGTCTCAGCACAAATGTCACTTCTCCACTAGAGGTTCTCTCTGACTACCTTGTTTATTTCATCTGCCATCCCCCATCATTTCTAGTTATCTATCTTATCTCCATGTCTTATCTCCTTCACAGCACACATCACTGTTATCTTCCTTATTTACCAGTTTATTTTCTCTCTGCCTCATGAACGGATTGACTCCATGAGGGCAAGAACTGTAAAGCTCTTACTTCCTAATATTGTCCCAGAACCTAGAATGGTACTTAATAAATATTTATGGATGAATGGATAGGCACAGTGGGGAACTTTTTAAGAAAATTCTTTCCCCAGAGGTCAATTTCAAATAATACTTTGTAATAAACATGGGTATGTCAAGGATAAAAACATGAGTTTTAAAGGTATGTAACATCAGTCTTTTGAAGGCCACTTAGGGATGACTCCCAAGGGGGTTCATCTTTCTATTCACTTAAAAGTTTGATTGAAAAGATGAAGGCAGACTCATTTAGGACATCCATGTGGGCAACCCTTGAGGTAGTCTAGGCTTACTTAGAAAAAAGGGAAGTAGTCTGTATGGTATGGTCAGATGTGTATCATTAGGTGATACAGGACTCCTTCCAAAATTCTTTTGAGTTTGCCCTAGTTCAGTATCTAAATCCTTTGGAACAGAATCTTTTGCTTAATAAAGTTCCTTTAATCTTTTAGTATCTCCTATTAAAACACAGATATCTTTAAGAGATGTAATACCAGAATCACATAGTTTTCTCTGAGTAGAGCTAATGTTATGACATTTTTAAGCTGACAATGATATCAGGGTTTGGTTCAAAATATATAGTTAGGTAACTGAGAACAAAGCCTTAGAGGAATGGTACCCAGGAGAGGGGCATGGAGAGGCCTGGAGAGACCCACAGAGCCCGATTTATCTCTAATTTTGTACCAAAGCTACCTTTCTGTCTGGGCCAGAACTACAGTGAACCACAGGACACTTCTGAGCTCATTCAAGTATTATAAGCTATAGGCAAGATCCCTAAAGTCTCAGAGAATGGAAGGCAGCGAACAAGCTGGATTCAGCTCCACACTAATGAGAGGGACTGACTGGGGACATGCAGAGTCCTGACAGATTCCTGGGGGATTACTTGGTATTAGAGCAATTCCTACTGCAATTTCACATTTATAGGGTGGTGCCTGCGTCCTGACAGCTCGTGCGTTCTTCACATGAAGCAACTGCTAGAAGAAGCATGACTAGTGACTACTTGGAAAATTTCATTATTAAATTTCCTAACCCCAAGTGAGCTGTATCTTTGCAGACACTTATCCCTGACCTTTTTGTGACATATAATTATTTTTAGCAGGTAACTTTTTCATATTGGGTGATTCTGTTAAATATTAATATCTTCTTGTTTTCAATGTTTCTTTTCCCTGGTTCAATTTCCACACCATTTCCTGCTTTGAATAAACCTGTATTTGTTGCAATTGAGCTGATTTGCCATGGCTGAGAGATTTCTGGAGTTGTTTTCCCACTCCAAATAAGGTCTTTATTGCATTTTAGAAACATTGACTTTTTAAAGGGAATTTCTCACTAAAATTGCATTGATGGCTTACTGATGCAATCCCAGCTTAGCTAGATGTGAAAAGGCACCGCTGTGACTTTTTCCTCTGCCTCATATTAACATCAGTTGAGAATAATTTTTTATCCTATTCACTTCCTGTAAAAGAGATGATTTGGTCTTACCATGGATGATTTTAAGAAACTTAATTGGAAGCAAAATTGCTCTCTTATTGCAAGAGTTCCTCATATATCTAAATGCCAATTCTGACAGCTTCACAGTATCTCTTTGCTTTTAATAATGTAATTTTAGGGGAAAAAATTGGAGGAGACCTGATGACACAAATGCCACCTGCCAGTGCTGTTCCCATCAGAGGTATATGACATTCTTTAGAACATGTGAAACCAATAAGCAGGAGGGCTATGTGATCTCTAGGTAAGAGGTGATGACCTTGCCATTTATCTTACTTCATTTTGCTTTTAACATGTTAATGGTTATAGTAATGTGGTAGTCATCTATATATTTTGGTAGGCAAATCAAATGAATCTTAAATGTATAATTATTTTTACCTATAAACTTATAGGCACATAGGTCACATCTCTGATTCATTCAGTACATACAGCAAATGAGTGACTGAAGCCAGACCAAAATATTGGTTTCTTGTGTAAAATTATCATGTTTCAAATCACCATTCTAGTGCCATGGAGACAGAGCTGTAGAAAAATTTCTAGGGTTTGCTAAAGCAAGGAACTTTGATAATAACAAAGAAAAACATTCCTGGAAATGACCTCTGATAACAGTGTAGTTTGAAGTGCTACCTACTTGATATTCTGTACCTTTCTGCTTATTCATCCAAGAATACAGCTGAACAAATCGGATGAATAAAACTGTACAGACACTAGGTACATACTTATTTTTATCTAGGTTTTATACCTTGAACAGCAGCTCGATTCCATAAGAGTAGTGCCATTGGATATATCTTCTCTTTTTGAAGAACGTTAGCCCTTTCTTCAAAAAAAAAAAGGAAACATCTATTAAGAAAGCTTAAAATTCCTCTGTAGTAAAGTCATATATACATATACATGCTTGAGGAATTTCAGAGAATTTTAACTCATCTTACTAGATTCCAAAATGAATGCTGAATTGCTTTGAGCTACTTCATACCCCATTTCTGCGAGCAGTGCATACTGAACAAGAGATGAATCTATATCACCATCCTTATAGGCAAAGTAAGCTGTCAGGAATTTGTCAGCCCAGTGGCCTAGTTCACAGACGCCTTTATAAAGCTGTATATGGGAAGAGAAATCAAGTAGACTGGTTAGTCCATATATTTCATCCCAGGTTGTTAATCAGTGAAATCAGTCTTCAGCTCTTGCTGGCTGGGCAGGCAAGAATTTGAGGTTTAACAGAGTGAAGAGTTAATTTTTTTTATAGTCACAATGATTACAAGTGTATTTTTTGTGCTTGCTGCGGCAGCACATATACAAGTGTATTTTTCTGTCCTGAGTCAAACTTCCTCGGGCTTATTTTAAATTTGTATAAGCAACTTTCCTGGCTTGGAGTCTATTTGGCAGGAAAGAATGTATCATCAACTTGGGATTTTTTTTTTAAGGGACTTTCTGGTCACTGCTGCTTTGTGGTAAATTACAAGGCCACAGCTGATGTGGAAAGGATACAATGAAGGGAAGCCAGTGCCTGAGGGTATAGGTGACACAACTGCAAGGAAGACGTGCAAAGATCCATGGGGACAAATGTCAACTTAGCTGAATAGCCCTTATGTAACCCAAAGAGGTTAGCCATACATAATTCATTAGGAAGTTGGCAAAGGAACAAATCTAAAGATAGATTATTAGCTGGCAGCTTTTGAAATGAATTTCAGAGGGACCAGACTGCAACACAGAGATATTTATATTGTTACAGCAGACATATTTAATAAATCAATGAAGGGCATTAAGGTCCTAAAAGCATTCTTTTGAAAAGTACATTACTGGCTCAAATTGAAAAAAAAATCTACTTTCTCAATTATTGTTCACATCATCCAAAGTTTATAGTCCTTGCTTTTTGGAAGAAGTGGGTTACATCTTCTAGGCTAAATGAAGCCTTTAGGTTCCCAAGTAGTAAGTCAATGCCACTAGGAGTGCGAAATTGCCCTGGTAATTTGATTGACAGCAGAAACAGAGCTCCTTAACTGAATTATGAGGCAAGCTCAGAAAATGATGAAAAACCAAATGCCATGGAGGATGGATCATTTCATTTTTCTCCTTTCCCCAGTCCAAGTTACATCACTGTTTCTTTTCTCTGGCAGATATCAGTGTTCACATTGTCAATGGGAAGAAAACAGGTACAATCCGTAAAACCAAAGGCGCAACAATTTAAGGATAATATCACCTCCTCTAAATGACAAATGAAAAGAACTTTAAAAACAGCCCAGTATTTACCTCCACAGCAGTTGTGCATGATCTTGACACCCCTGTGCCTGTTGCATACATCTCGGCCAGATAATAAATGGCGAGGGGCTGCCCACTCTGAGATGCCAAGTAAAAATATTTGAAGGCAAGTTTATAATCTTTCCAAACTCCAGAGCCAGCTGAAAATTACAATTGTTTTGAGACAACACTTATTTATTTTGCATTACATCTTCTAATCTGTAGGTCTAATAGTCATGGTGGTGCTTGCTGACTTAAATAGGATGAGAACACCCAAATGAAAGTCAAACTGCTTTAAGTCTACTGTTGGGAGTGAGTGGGTAGTAGAGAGAAATTACAAATAAGAATATAAAATGTATGATCTTGGGCCATTTGGAAAACAGAGAAAGAACTGTTTAGTTTCATGGGAATATCTCAGTTTGATGTAGTTTGAACTAATGAAAAGGAGACCAAGTGGTTTCCTCTGAGGAGCAGAGGCTGCACCATGAGCTTCTCACTATCCTTGTCGTCCTTCCATGCCAGGACAACAGTATAGCTCATGAAGACACACTAATAGAGCCTGAAGTCGGTGATTTCCAGATCAAGGAAGACGAGGTCTGACCCAGCTCATACTTGGAGAAAGTGGAGGCATTTGGGGTGGGAGTGGAGAATCAGCAAATTCCCAGAAACAGCAATTCTTTTCCTGGCTGTTACTCTATTTTCTGAGTTGGACACATCTAGACATTTTATTTGCAAAAGGAGAGAGCTTTCCTTAAAGGGTCTTTAAATTCTCTTCCAGCTATAACATTGTATGACCTTTATCAGCAATGCTATGTAGCAATTAAGAACAAAAGCTCTCCAAGTAGATTTCCAAATTGAATCCCACGAGCACTCCGCATGTGGTCTTGGACAAGATGTCGGAACTCAGTATTAGTTTGCTCATCTGTAAATTGTAGGGTACCTCTGGACATCTTGAGAAAGTTAAAGGGATTGAAGCACACAAAATATAATGTACATTAGCCATTGCTGTTGCTCTTAACCTAAAAACTTGAAAATTCAGACAGATCTTAAACTGAGGACTTGAAATATCTGAGACAAGACCTCCATTCTGCGTAAAAAGTGGGCTGTCCTGCTGGGTCACCATGGAAAATGCCAGCTGACCTCTTGGTCAGGTTTGACTGCCTTGGTGATGCAGTCATCACTGACCCAGTTCCTTCTGTGACATGAAGGGCATGGTAGGGGTTTGTTCAGATTTCCTGGTCTCTATCCTAACCACCTCCTCCCCTGGTCTATCTATTAGTACAATTGTATTATTACAAATCTTCATGGCTTTCAGAGACCCCCTACTCCAACTCCTCCACCTCTGCTCCCAGAGGCAACATTTTACCTACTACATGGAAGACAACTTCATATTGTCTTTCCTCACTTGCCTCTCCCTCCCTCCCCATTTTTACATCATGCTGTCCATGTCTTCCTCCTTTCATTCTTCAAGAATGAGAAATTCTACTTCTCTGTCAAGGCTAAAGAGGCCTCCACCTACATGGATCCTAATGACACTGATTTTCTTCTAGGACCTCATTTCATCAATTATAATTATTCCTGGGTCTCTCACCATCTAAATACAAATATCTTGATTCTTGTCCCCTTCATGCTATAATTTTCTCTCTCCCTTAAAGGCACACTTCTTCCAAGACTTTTTTTCTTTTCTCTTCCTTTTTTTATACTGAGGATTGAAGTTAGCCCATTGCACTGAGTTACATTCCCATTTTTATTTTAAGACAGGGTCTTGCTAAATTGCTAAGTTGTCAAAGGTGGGCTTGAACTTCTGATCCTCCTGCATTAATCTCCCAGAATGCTGAGATGTCAGGCCCATACTACCATGCCTAGCTGTTGCAAGGATATTTTCACTTATCTACTTTTTTACCTTCCATTCATACCCTAACTCGTTGCCACCTACTTCCACAACAACCAGTCCAATAATATCAATATTATCTGTATTACTAAGTCACCTCTCCTAATCCAACCCCTTCTTTTTCTTCAAACCAGGCTTCTCACTATATCTCCCAGGGCTATTGCTTATTAATTTATTCTTTCTGGAAATCTCCTCCCCTTTGGCTCCCTTTTAGATGATTTTTTTCCCTGTTCCTCTGGCCATGCCTTTTTGTTTCTTCTTGGTGCTCACTCTTTATCTACCTATCCTTTCAGAATGGCACAGAAGAGCTCCAGAATTCTGATCATTGTCCATTTCTCCTTTTTCTCATTCTTCCTTCTTTTTGCAACCTACTCTTCACTCATTTTTTTTTCACTGAGTTTATTGGTACTTTTTAGATATACAGTACAGTTATATTCACCATTGGGATCTTGTACCTTTACATGACAGATCTTAGTTTTTGCAACCTACTCTTCACTCATTTTTTTTTTCACTGAGTTTATTGGTAGTTTTTAGATATACAGTACAGTTATATTCACCATTGGGATCTTGTACCTTTACATGACAGATCTTGGTTCTCACTTTTTCCCCATACCCTTCCCTCCCTCCACCCACTCCATCCCTTCCACCCCCTCCACCCTTCTCCTACTCTTCAATCATACCTGTAGGTTGATATCTCCAAAAATCTTTCTCTCCAATTTTGACATTTCTTCTGAGTTGCATACTTGTTTCTGGTATTCTCACTGGCTATTATAAGAACTTCAAACTTGACCACATCAAAAATGAGCTTCCTGAATTTATACTTCCTTGGCACCTCCCTCAACTGGTGCTTTTTTCTTTAGTTATCCTTAAGTCTGGTGAAATTGCTTCCTGAATATTATTTTTAAACCACTCGTACTACCTATGATTTTTGTTGTAAAAGAGGCAGACTTACTAATGCACAGGTCATTCTAAATAAAGCAGCATATGTGCAGTACCTACAGTAGTACATGAAGCCGAGCTGGAACTGTGCGTTGGGCCATCCTTTCTCTGCAGCTTTCTGAAAGTACTTAAGTGCTTCAGCATAATTCTGCAAGATAATTACACTCTTATTCATAGCTAAATGTATAACTTCATGGTAACAATTGCCTTCTACCTTTTTTTAGAGTACATTCAATGCTCAGTGTGATTTAAGGCTAATTAAAATAGTGTCAGAAATATAATGCATTTTATTTATTATTATATTAGATACTATTAGGAAAGAATTATCTCATATCATTGTAAATGATATATTTTTATACATTGACAGTGGGTTTTGTTAGCTATTACTTGAAAGACAGGGAAGATCACTTGAAAGACAGAGAAGATAAATTTCTCTATCAATAAAATCCTCAGGGCACAGATATTTCCAAGGCTACTTAGAATCTTGATTCTAAGATATAATTAGAGTTGCTATTCTTGTCACAAGATTGTTCTTCTATGTCTCTTTGGCAAACAAAGATTTTACTGAATTAGTTTATTCTCCATTATAGTTTAGCCAACCAGGTGTTAGAGACTAATTCCTACAAATTAATGAATGGTCATAAATTTTACCCTCTAAATTGCCAGAAGCATGTTGAAAAGATAATAAAATTATTTTACTTACCACTGGAACTCCTTTTCCATAAAAGTGAAGGAGACCAAGTCCATGAAGACCAATTGCATTGCCCTAGAAGAATTTAAAAATCCCAGTCAAGTCCCAGAAGAATTCATAAGGAAAATTACTTCAAAATATTTGAAATTTCCCCATTATGACAGTAATCAAGGCAGGTTAATCAGGCAGTTGGCAGATCATTTTGATTCTCTCTTGCTTATCATTCCACACTTTCATATTACCCTCTGACAAGAAAAGGAAAAGGGAAATAAAAGTCAAATCTTTACTTGATTCTTTCAGTCAGGACTTACTTAATATTTGCTTTGTGTATGATTCTACAACAGGTACTGAGCTGAGGTAAGAGAGGTGAATGGTGAATGATCCAGGAGAGTTTGTAGACAAGTGGACTGTGATCCATACATATCAAAAGGGTGGGCCAGATTTGTTAAAGCTATGTCAAAGGTGCCAAATCTTAAAATGAAGCTGTGAATCCCTAGAAGTGGGACACACAACTGCTTGGTTGAAGCTAGGAACAGAACAGGATTGAGTTTCAGGGTGGTGACATTTGAGCCATCAATGATTTGGTGACATCATTTGTAAATGATATATAGGAGTTTTCCAGAAAGGCAAAGTCAATCCAGACAGTTGTTTGACCATGTTGGTCAAAAGAGATTGATGTAAATGCTTAAATAACATTTTAAAAGCTATGTGGATTTCAGTCCAGCCATTACAGAAAGGAAGGCAGTTTGCAGTGTATTTCTTTGTCAAAATTTGACTTCTTATAATGTCAATGAGGTTGTCTTTTCCGCTTGATGCTAAACTGCTACCTATTTTTGTGACTAATATTTTGAATGCTGACGAGAGTAGTTAGCACATTTAGTCCTCGAAGATAATGCTTAGCTAGCACAAGTTCACATGTATTGATATTTCACAAATCAATCTCAAGTGAGGACTGAATCCCACATAGTTTCCCTAACTGAAAACACCTTTTCTTTCTATCTCCCCTCATGCATTTCACTCTCTGGTGACCACGTAAGAGGTCAAGAACGGCCACTTGGTTTTCTTTCAGCAGATGTGTTGGTTTGTTATACAGATATTTCCTCAGGAAATTAACTTCTGATACAAAACTCTCCAAATTTCTTCTTACCATCTAAATTTAGTCATCGTAGATGCAACTAGAATATATCTTAGTGACACAAAGTGGTACATAAACCGAAAAGGCATATTTTAAACACTCAAGATTCCAAACTTTGAGCCTATGCATATCAATGGACCTGCTATTGTAAGAATTCTTAACTGCTTTCTTCTTCCTTCTTCCTTTCCTGGCTACATCCACTTGTGGCTTCTGTGTGTCTTGGACTCTGTTCTGAGAGTAGAAAGACCTAATGTGACAGATTTGGCAAAGTCTAGTGAGCCTGTCTTCTCCTCAGCCTCATTAGATACTGAGAAAAATGGAAGAGAAGGAAATGAAAATGAGAGGAGGGATGGAAGAGGGGAAGGAATAAGGAAATTAGAGTAGCTGGGATGAAACTCTTTCCTTCTCTAAGAAAGTCCCTGGAAAACCAGAAGCTCATTGGAGTAGTCATCAACAATTGAAGGCCTAAAATACCTGTTCGCTTTCAGGTACCTCCAGGAGCCATGCCAGTAATATAGGCCAGGTGATAAAGAGAAAGGTAGAGACCAAGACAAACCAGAGTGTACCTGCCCTATCTAAAGACAGCAGAGCTACCAGCTCCAGCCAGTTGCCGCCACATGGATGACAGTCCTATGTGATCAGTTTTGCCATTTTCCAAGAAAAGCTGAATGTACAATTTCCCCCATGTCAGATAGGTAATGTGCCAACATCATATCAAGGCTGGATGGAGGTACATTTTACACTATGGCATGACCCACCTGGTCATTACACCAATGAACTCTGAATCTTTGATGTAAAGTTTACTGATTCATAAAAGACATTCTGGGAAAAATACAACACATGTGTTGCCAAACCCCCAGTATGTAACTTCCACAATAGGGCTTAATACTTTTGCTTGGGCTGCCCAGAATCTGGGAGCAGTACTCATTTGCCACCTATTGACTCAGACCTTGTCCTCCTTGAGGTGAGGAGACTTGGCCACCAGACAGTAGGAAGGAAATCAGAAAGTAGAAAGCTGTGGAATAAAGAGTGAATGCAGGCAAATTCAGAAGGAAGAGACTGTGTTACCCAAGATGGGTAGGGCGGCTTTGGGGAAAGAGGAAAGAGGATTGAGCAAACTCCGGAGCTGAGTAGGGCTTGTACTGTGGGACTCTTGATGGTATAACAGATGTGTGGAAATGGGATTGGGCCTGATGTGTTCAGAGCTGTGAGACAAAGAACCAGAGGAGTATGGTCCAAGATGGGTGCAATAATATCACATGAATGTTTTGTTTTTGTATACATTTTTTTAACTTACATGTTTATAACTAAATAAGACAAGAGGTTGTAAAATTGGTAATTTTGTGTACTGATACTGGTATTAACTTCAGACAAAATTAAAAAGCAGGAGTCTGTATCTATGCCCACCTCATACCATTCAGAATAATTATCTTAAGCACTATTTTAGATTTCCTTGGTAAAAAAAGAAAACTCAGGTTTAGAATATGTGTAACTCAGATCACTGCTAGTTATTAAGCCCTGCATAGTTAGGGAGTTAATTAATTTACACACCCAACTTTCTGACATTATTCATTTGGGCTGACAAATCAATGTTATTTGCCAGATTATAAGAGATTTCCTCAGATACCTCTTTTTTGGTCTGTTCTTCTGGGTCCTCCTAATCTAATGGTACTCCAGATAATTGTTTTGCTAAGCAATAGTTTTGCATAAATTACAAAGGAGATGGGGGCACAGTACTAGCCTTCCCAATAATTTACATCACAACAGCAGCTCTGAGGGGCTAGTTATTTATAAACAGGCTCCTAAGCAGCATGTAGGTCTTTAAAAACTGAGAATAGTTGAAAATATTTCTCCATTTGAAAAAAATGGTTAGTGCAAATGCTGAACTATGAAATTCTAAGAGAATAAAATACTTCCTCCTTTTAGGGGTAGAAAATATATGAAGGCCAGTTGCCAAAAGCTGGTTGACAGGATGTTGGTATGAGGACACTGATTATGCGTTAAAAAAATTCAGAGTAGTTTATTAAGTTTTATCTGATACCAGTCTCACTGAGCCGAGTAGCAAAGGAAAAGATTACAACAGCAGGAGGGATAACACAATCCTCCCACGGTACGTAAGGGGCCATATGGCTTCAGGACTCCCCAGATAACAAAATTCCCAGATGCTCAAGTCCCTTATATAACATGACATAGTATTTATACGTAACCTACACATATCTTCCTGTATTCTTGAAATCATCTCTCAATATGTAGGCTATGTAAGTCATCATTATATGCAATTATTTAGGAAATAATGACGAGCAAAGTCTGCAGATGTTCAGTAAGATGTAATTTATTAAACATTTTGATTCATAGTTGGTTGAGTCCATGGAAGCAGCACCTGGAGTATGGAGGGCTGACTGCTATACCATTTCTGTATGCCTTCATAGTTCCAATTCTTTCCGCCTTGGATCTACTTTAATGTTCACTCTACCTAACTGGCTTCAGACTGCAAAAGATAATAACGGATACACAACACTTTCATGTGTTGGACACTGCTTTAAATATTTTATAATGTGAGACACATATATACTAACCCCTTAAATCCAGACAACATCAGCCAAATCTTATATTCTCATTTTGCCTATAGAGAAAGTGAGGCACAGAAAGGCTAAGTAACCATGGTCACACAGGCATGCTGTGGTAAGGCTAGCATTTAAGCCAGGCATTATGTCTCCAGAATCTTGTTTTGAATTACCTTGTTCTAGCTAACTGCCTTACAACCACCTGTCTGGGCCAAGGGGAGCTCAGATATGACTGGAGAAAACTGGGCATTTCCTGGTTGTCTTTGTCATGAGCTGATTGCAGTTAGATGAGTTTTCTCTTCCTCTGCCTTCATTACTTCTATTTCTCATTCCTAAGCTAGATGGTTTCAATTATTGTACAGGAGCGAGGGAAACTGAGTTGTTGGTTGTCAGGCCATCTGCTGGCCCTTGCTAGGGCAACACAGGTCAAAAGCATGGGTTTTTTTTTTTCTTAATTTATCAAGAACACATGTTTGCTTCTTCTTCTATTTTATCTCTGTAGTTTATTGTCAAAGGTATTGTATTTCTCCAGGACCTAAAACTCCTTCTATTCCCATTATCTGGGCTTGGGACTTTGAAGTCAATTCTTGGGCACCAATCTGCATGTGATAAAAGACAATTATTTTTATGTGTTCACATCAGTGGGTTGAGGACATACCTTATTGGCTGCCATGGAAAAGTATTTGAAGGCAGTAGCATTATTTTGTGGTGCAGCAGCATTCCCCTCTAAATACATCTAGGAAAAAACAATGAAACGATAATGTAAAAATAAAAGAATTTTGGGGTGATGCAAGTATTCGAAACCTAAATAGAAGTAATGGTAGCACAGCATTGTGGATGTAGTAAATGCCACTGAATTGTACATTTTAGTTAATTTTAAGTTATTTGACTTTTAACTCAAAAAGACTAAAAATAAAATCTACATGTATTCTGAAATGACTTTGCAGAAGAGCAAAGGAATGGACCCTATGTGTGTTTTCTCCTGTATCTTGAATCTAAATTACTGTATGTGGCACTTCCAGAAGCAGGGCACTAATTCCCATGGTTACTGAAACAAATCGGCTGCAGAGAGCCAAGGGCTTCAGTAGAGAGGGAGGGAGTGATCTTTGAAGGAGAAAGAACATTTTTCTTTAGAGGAATCCTCAATAAGGCTGCTCAACGGTCATAGGGGACCTCCTGTCAGAAGTGGGATGAGCGTGGACCTTAGTCAGTGTAGAGCTAGTTCTCATTCCAAGGTGGAGGAAAGAGGTACCTCATTGGTCTGAGGGCCGTACCAGTCTTCAGGGCACCTAGATCTTCTGTTACCTGCTGGGATTTTGGGGAGCTCAGAGGCTCATACACACTCACAGAGGAGTGTGGCAGTATATTTTTTAAGGCTGCTTTTGATGCCTCATATTACAGCATGTTGTTTGGGACTCATTCCAACCTGTCACCTCAAGAATACCACCCTCAGTGGCAGCCAAATGCCCCTTCAGCTCCTTCGGTGAAAGAGACTTCCAGTCTTGTCACCCTACACTGAATTCAGTTTGCTGGTGTCATTCATTTCCCTCCCACCCTCCCTCCCTCCCTCCCTTCCTCCTTACCTTCTCCCTCTCCTCCCTCCTTTTCTCTCCTTTCTTCTCTCCACCCCGGTATACTGGGCATGTGCACACCAGCAAAGCACTCTAACATTTATCTACATCCCCAGCCCATTTTTTAGGTTTTTAAGAATTGAAAAATATTGATCAATTTGAAGCATGTACCTTTCCTATAAATGCCATGGCATTTGCACTCCCAGCTTTTGCTGCCTTTAAAAAGTAGTATAATGCTTTCTGGAGAGAAAGGAACAGTATTAATACCAGTCACAAATAAATGCCACAAAATGGCTTTATGAGCCAAAATTGTTTATTCATTCAACATGCATTTAAAAATATTTATGAAATGCCCATTTTGTTCAAGGTGTTATTCCAGGTGCTACTTTAACCATTTAACCATAAACCTAAAGACTGCG